GTACTACGCAAAACCTGTCACGGTTTGTTTGTTTTCAGGATGTCAATCATTTCCCTTTACTCAACGTACTTAAAGATAAAGACCAGCTATGGTCATGCAATTGCATTGTGAAAGAAACGTTGTGGAATCGATCAGAAAAGGTTGATCATCTAGCATATAAGTATTGGTGTGTACTGCAAGGTTCTGGAATCGTCAAAATGATAAGAAATCTGGCCCAGTCTTCGTAAAGTTACAAGCACTGTACACAGAAAGATTTATATGGGACTACGCACACGTGCCCGACACGTGCGTTTATCTCTCACAGACCAATGGATAAACTAATTTACCAAATATATCAATTAATAGGCGGTTTCCCGGCAAAAAAATTATCATCATGTATTAGTCAAAACATATTCTTTCACATGATTGGTAATAAAGAGCTTCTATTTTTAATTTTTTGAAATTGGGGCGTTTCCAATACTGGTCTTTACCTTTAATATCAATAAGAAAAAAAAATATATAACAATGAATTAATTCAGATGAGTGACAACATCCTCATAGATAAAAGTGTAAAGTGGTACCCGGTTGTGGCACTCCGTACCACATGCGGCAATCGATTTTATCTCCAGGAACCCTTGAAGCAGAAGGTGCAAAATTTTAGCTTTAGCTTGTTTTTAGTTGCACACATAGTTCTTGTAGAGCCCTTTTACTTGCACTGTCCTCTCGGCACAAGACAAGCGCAAGGTACGAACATACGTCATCGGTGGTCTGTAGTATACAGGAAGAAGAAAATAATCGACATATGGTAAATTAGCAAAAACGGTTTAAAAAAACCATGTCCCACAATCACTGAGACCACTTTTCACGAAATATTTGTTGTCATATTTTTAGTGTGGCAAAAGAAAGTCATTTTAAGGTTTGCACAAAGAAAGGTATAAAACAAGTTTCAACAATTGAGACTAGAATAGTCAGAAGTCAAACAATTTTCTTTTTGAACTTCCAATCAATTTGGTAGGTAAATGATTATTCCTGCTCTATTGCAGTAAATCGTATTTTTAAATTTTGGAGTACGTGGGGGTGGAGGGGAGGAGGAGTGCGAACAGGGGACACAGTCAGAATTCAATGGTACTTAATACTCACTGGGCTCCCAGTCCAAAACCTCCTTTGCACAGTACACACGTCGTCCCCCCCCCCCTCCTAAAAAGGAAAAAACACTGTCAAACGCCACTTATACTATAGGACTACATGTAATGAAAGTAAGTGAACAACTCTTAGACTATTCTTCATTTATAATGCAAACGCATTGCTTTTTGGAATCAATCAGTCTCCAAACAAAACAAAAGAACATACTTGTAGTTATCCTATTATATTCTCTCTAAGATGAATCACATAGGCCTACATGTAAGGAAAGTATATACACAATTCTTCATTTATAATGCAAACACATTGTATTTGGGATTCAACCCGTCTTTTATTCTGTCCTTTTTGTGAGGAATGGGGCAAATAAGTTGAATAGAATATTTCAATATTTGCTAAGGTGAAATGACACGTACAGAGCATTCTCAAATGTTGAGTTTTTTTTTGTATTATCGATTTCAGGAAAGGTGATATTTAGTATGCATCATGTTTATATCACATATTGAGAAACTTGAATCAAATGTAAAGGACGAAATGTCTATAATGTAAAGAATGAATATCAAATGTAAATAGTTGATGATTAGGTGATGTGGTTTAGTTGATACGTCACCTGATGATGTGGCGCGCGGTTCGAGTCCCGCCACGCCACTGATGTCCTTTGGCGAGACATTAATCTACATTTATTTGCCACTCCTCGACCCAAGTGAGGTGGATGGGTACTTGGCGGGAAATTTATTCCTTGAAATGCTAGAGCGCCATTTTAACAGTCATCCCAAAGCTGGCGTAATAACTGTGGAACGCCAAGAGTGTCAGGTTGACATCCATGTGCGCTACTACTACTACTATTATTATTATCATTATCATTACTGTTGTAACTATAATCATTATCATTATTATCGTTGTAATAAATATTATAATCTTTATTGTTATTGTCATTGTTGCACATTTTAATAGATGACACATAAAGCTATAAAGATGCATCATGTTATTTTTTGTAATCTTTGCGATCGCGTTAAACTAACAAAGCAACAAATAAAAACAAACCGTGATAAACGGATCAGCGAATGCTTAAGGAAATATGAAAAATAATAAGAAAGTTTTCGAGTTTTTAAACAAGCCGTGATCTATCAAACTAGAAATGCAACATTTGTATACAGGCATGCAGCTCATCTGATTTTAGTGTAAAAATTAAAAGCTTTCTATTTTCTACTATTTATATCATGACACATGTCTTTGCACACCTCCCTCCGTGAATAAGGTATGAGAGGATAATTCTTTTATCATTTTTGCCACAAAAAAAAAGAACAAGAAAGGGTAGCCAATTTTATGTTCCATGGATAACAGCTAATATAGTCAATGAACACAATTTCTTTTCTTTTATCCAATTAACTCTTACTTCGAAAACATTTTTTAAAACTTATTTTCTGTTTTCAATTGACTTGTTAGCAGATTTGATTTCCCTTTTAATGGTTGCATGTAATATAGTTAAAGTGGTTACACAACCACCATCGGAAACAACTTTGCGATGTACATAAATTATTTTTAACGAAACAATATCAATTTACGATCATTCTATATAAGGCACTTAAGTCTTTTATTGTATGATTAAGGTAGTTTTGTGCAATGAAAGACGTTGTGGCAGTGGCACAATTCATGAAGAAAATTTTAACAACAAACCAATATTAACTTACAGTAGTCCTGGAGAAAAAATGTTTCACATCCCGCTGCAAAACATGAACAGGCCGAGTCCTGCATTATGAATTTATAATAATGCTGTATTCCCTTAAAATGGCCATAACAATTGAGCTGAGGCTGCATCCAGGCCTATATATTTGACTCATTATGACAAATATAAAAAACATCACACAGTTATATGAACAATATACAAACCATATAATCAGGTTAATGGTATTACTTAATGCGCCATAAGTCATGTTTAAACTTGTCTAAACATGAATGTTTACGCCTATATATCGTTTACAGTGTAGTACAAGTAGGATATAATTATTGTGTTAGATGAAACAGCCTGATTCCTCTTGAGATAAAACAATGTTATTAGACGAATTAGTTTAATGTTCAGTTTATTGTTTCATATTTCATAGTTCAAATTTGTAATTGATTTCATAAAATAAACAGTCCAAACAGAAATGTTATTGTCAGAGACTTGAATAGAAGGTGAGCACTTCACATATATTTGTTTGCATGCAGTAATCATTGGAATATTTAAATAAATTTATTCTATTCAATTTATTTATTTTCCATTTCAAAATAATGTGAACACAAGGCCAAAATAATTGCAATAAAATCAAAATATAAAAGAAGAGTGTACTACAAGGCGAATAAAATGTGGATGAGCCTACGGTAAAAGCTATACCCATGAATTTGGATTGCTTTTATTTACCAAAAGAGGAAGTAAGACGACGAGGAGAAGAAAAAAATATTGAAAAACATAACAATTGATAACCTACATTGATATTTTCTATTAAAGTCAAAGCCTAATTTGCATTGATAGATTTGTTGTTTAATTGGCAAAATCTATCTGACATTTTTATTTGATTGCTGAACAAGGCCAATGTTCGTTCTGTTAGGAACGCATATCATATAAAGTAAACTTTTTTTAATCTAACTTTTTTTAGTGTCCTTAGTCCATGTAGTACGTGATTATGAAATGAAATGATTGTATGGGTACAAAGTGCTCTAAAAAGAGACTTTATTTTATTTTTGATAACAACCTGCCTGTTCAAATATATATTCTAGTATAAACAAATACAAGATGATAAAGTTTGATTGTGTGACTGGCCCGTATAAACGTAGAAAGCATACGGGAAATACACACACACACACACAAACACACCCCACATGACATACACACCCACCCGAGACACGCACAATCCAAACTCAGGCAGGAGCGTCTACGCCTAACATTGATGGCGAACAGAGCATTAAAATCAAAAGTTTCGCCTGTGAATTGACTGCCCAATAGTTCCTGCTTTGGAAAATAAATACTTTTAGACCCTATTTGAACACTCTTTCATATTTGATTCGCAAACCAATTTGCCTTTCAACCCATTTTGAGTGGATCTTATTCAAGAGACTAAACGCTTGGAATCATAATTTCTTAAATCATTACGTATCAAAAGTGTATGATATACATCAGTTATTTCATTCATTTATTTTAGCGGTTTTTACAGTAATATTTGTTCACATAAATATAATAACAATGTGCCAAGAGACCAGTGTCCTATATTTCAATCATTCCTCGTCTTATATAATAGCTGCTTTTGAATATTTTTCTACCTCTGTTTTGCATGGGAAAAATCGTACTGCTGGCAAATTGACAGAAGGGTTAACAACCAGATTTTACCCTCGATGGCAAATTTGCAAATTTGAAAGAATATGTTCCTACATTTTTGTTATGCCTCGAAAGAACATTTTCAGCAATCAAACTGCCCGTAGGTTTGGACCTACAAGGCCCAATTTAGAATGGTGTAACTACTTGAGTGACTAGCATCACCCTTCACGGGGTTCACATTCATTCTTACATTTCCCCTTGAAAATGTGAAACCAATTATCACATTTGCAAAGTGACCCATTATGAAATATTTTGAAAATGAAAAGTGTTAAGTCATTCAAAATATTCCAAACTGTTGGAACCCAGTTTATGAAAGTACAAACTCTTTACTATGTTTACTGCTGGTTGAATTTTCCCACTTGATCTCAAGATTATGTATAAATCAAGCTTGGGCAAATCTCTTGGAAATAAATACATAGCAAAAGGAAATGATTGAATAATGGCTTCGTAAGTTAAATAAATTAAATATATATATACATACATACTAGGACAATATATGTATAATGATTTTTTTTCTCATTGATATTTACAGAAGCATGACACAGGAACGAGTACAGACGAAAATGACGTTTCAACAGAAATCGACACAAAGTTGAATGAGGACTCGAATAAGAAGAATGGAATTGCAAAAACAATAGATGAAGTAAGTTTCTAAAAAAAAATAACAAGGGAAACCGTATGTATACACATACACTGTTGTCGATACCCTTGTTACATTTGTGTATATGCTGCATTAATGTTTATATATATATATATATATATGTACACAGTCAAACCTAATTTAGTGACCACCTGTTTACAAATACAACATTTGTTTTTCCCTTGAAAATGGTTTCCTATAAGGAACCTGTCTGCAAAGACCACCTGTCTACAGCGACCACTTTTGTGTTTCCCTTGGGTGGTCGCTATAGACAGGTTTGACTATATATATATATATATTTACACGACATGTCTTGTTGTGGGGTGATTGGAATTATGTTTATTTCTATCTTCTCTTTGTCATCAATCGCCACTTGCTCCTTTTTCTCCCATTCCTTTCTTTCTGCTTCTTCTTTCGAGTTTCTATATATCGCACACACAGTCTCTCTCTCTCTCTCTCTCCATCTTTAATTTACAAACACACACACACACACACGCACACAATTATTTAACGTATAATTATTCTCCCATTATATATTTACAGAAGCATGACACAGGGACGAGTAGCTACGAAAATGCAGCTTTTGTAAAAGACATAGAGACAGATTTGGATGAGGACTCGACTAAAAAGAATGGAACAGCAAAAACCATAGATGACGTAAGTTCCATATAAAAAAATGTAACAGTAACTGAGAATATAATAATCATGTCATTTCCGGTGTGAGGCATCGATAATGTATTCGAATTTCTATATATCATGCTTTTATGGACTACTTGATCTTTCGATATTTGCCACTGCAACGTTTTCTCCTGGCTTTATTTCGTGAAAGATATAGGGTTGAGTTTACGGTTAGGGTTGCGATTGTTTTTTATTTTAGGGTTAGGGAGATTCCACAAGTATAACAACAATCGTAGCAAGAACTTGTATCGAGAAACATGTCATTGTCCCGGCGTGGATAAACTTGGAAAATCATGGTCGAAGAGGGTGTTTCACAAAGATCCTAAGTTGATCTTATCTCTAAGTAGGACTTAAACATTATGGAAAGCCGTGAGCATCTTTAAAAATATTTTGTAGAAGTTATTTTAAAAGGCATAAAATGTTAATTCAAATCAATCATATTTTCTATTATCAAGGAGATTTCATGTTCTTGATGTGTAATTTATGAACAGTCTAAAATACCTGAATTATTTTAGAATATATTTTATTTTAAGGCTACAAATGGCTCTCCGTAATTTTTAAGTCCAATTTAGAGTTAAGTTCAACAAAGGATCTTTTTTTGTAAAACACCCCCCTGGTCATACCCTCTTCATGCGGAAGAAAGGAAATCAATCTTTTCAGGAGTCATATCAGGATCATTTGTCCTCTACTTGAATCCAGTCCAAAATAAACTTGAATATACTTGATTCAGAGAGGAGGCATGGCCGATGGTCATCCGTGGTCAGAACAACTCTGTCAGATATTAAAGGAGGCCTTTAGGGAATTACTTGTTTTTTGGAGTTGAATCCGCTTAAAATTATTGTGGAAGTTGTGGGTAGATTTATCTTTTGAGAGTGGATTTCTCTTAAAAGACAGGTCTCGTAATCACCTCTGAGTAGGACCTTGTCCCTCAGTTCCGCCCTCATAAATAGGACAAGTTAAACATAGTTTACCCTTCATTGTTATCGCGAACAAACAGTTGTCTCGCACAAGTCCAATTTTCTCGATCATAGGTATATGCTAATCATCATGATCATATCGATTCGCCCGTGTAGTCTCGTTATTCAGATGTTTTCTGCTGTATTAGGATGTTGTAGGAAATTTAAATTTTTTTTCGTTTGACCTTTGAATCGAATCGTTTCAGGTAATGTGAAAATAAAATCATCACATGATCATGGTGATTCAAAATTTTGCTTACCCCATTAATTAGTTTTCTTGAGATGTATGTCCAATAGATGAATTCAAGTAACAACAATAGCAAATGACCACTTAGGTTTGACTACTGTAAACCTCACATAACAATGGACTTCTCGATAGAGTAAATACAATTGTTCAATTGGTTTTGAAATAAAGTAAAGCTCGAGACCAAAGATCACATACTCCAAGCTGATAAAGAGTCATTAACTGTTCAGGTCCCTCACCTTTACTTTGTCAATCTACAATACAAACACATTATGGAAGAGATTAGATTGGATAAGGCGTGACCGTTAAAAGTGGCATCACAAGACTATGGTTTGATCTGATTTCCTTTTTTTGTTTTTGTTTTACTTGACTCCTAAGAAAGCATGTGTATGCTTGCAACTTGCAAGTAAGCAACGAAGGGACTTTGTAATGAGGAGTTATGCCTCACCAAAGGGTATTACGAGGGTATTATCAGGGTACATGTTAATTAATATAAGATTGACTAATGATGCTTTACCCCCCCCCCCCCCCCCACCCCCGGCAGGACCCAGGCTTTCCAACAGACTGATTATATATCAATTCTAAAAGGATTTATACTTTGATTTTAATACTCTTTTACAGGATACCTATGCAAAGGTTATAGACCCGCCTAAAAAGAGCAATGGCGATGCCACGGTCATCGACCCGGACAATGACGATGATGATGATTTACAGGCCCGACTGTGGAAGGTTTGTAGCAAGCAACCAGATTTGGCAGTAATATATGATTGCAGGGTCCGCGGGAAGAATGTTACTACTGATGAGGCTTATCTGAGAAAAAAAGGACCATTATTATTGTTATTATTATCATAACCATTATTATTGTAATTATTTTCATCATCATTACTTATATTGTTTTTATACCCTCTGGATTTCTTCACAAATTACCCTAGTCTTGAATTTCGACCTAATAATAGTCCTGTGTTGAATTCAACCCTTGAAAAAAATTCCAACCGTTCTTCAATGTGGACTTTTAAGGATTTACTTTTCTGATTGTGTGATGAATAAAACACAGCCAGATAAATCACATTATGATTCATGGGTGGAGCAACCCAAAATTAGCAATGTTATTGAAATATCATTTTTCAAGTTTTAAAAAACGCCATCGCTCAGACTGTCAAGGCCAGTTTCAATACCATGTTCACTGTTGAATATCCAACAAAGAAAAATCATGTACAAATTATAATAGTAGCGCATTTCTAAAGTAGTTATACGAGGCTAGAATTGACAAAAGCCTTAGTGATTTTGATTTGTTTCTTTCTGCTTCAGTTTATAGATTAAAGGTAATGCAAAGTTTTGGGAAAATCGGATGGATAGTAATTCTTTAAAATGTTGATACATTTGGATGTATTATAAGCACTAAAAAATGTAGCCCCTAAAACACTTCTGCTTTCGAGATATTGAATAATCAAAAATTTACCGGTGCTTCTGGTACATTTAAAATATTATAAATAGCTCCTTAGGCATTCCATGGTAGCTGCGACCATGAAAATCTCAGAATATACAGTTTTAATATACAATTTCCAAACGGGAATAGCAAATTGGTCGATTGTACGGTAGTCAAGAAACATTGTTTGAAAGCTAAAGTAATATCAGTCTTGAGAGGGCGCTATATAACATAAATAGTTTATTATTTATAATTTCATCACTTTAGACTCGATCATTGAACATTGTACAATCGCATATGCTTCCAATATGTTCATCTGAACCAAATTCGTGACCCCAAACCAAAACTTTGTCTTACCTAAGTTGAAGTATTTTCATTTTTCTTTTCAACCCCCTTTCAATAAAAGGGTATCTACGTTTACACAGACAGTATCACCAAGACACTCAGCGAGAACAAAACGATGATCAGGTACATGGTGCTGATCATCCTCCTAATGGGATATGCGGCCTTCCTCATATACGCCTGCATCTACGACTTCGACGAGGCGTTCGTCATTCTTATCATCACGGGCCTCGTCGTCTTTGTCTACGGCTACATCCTGATCAGAGACACTCAAGGAGAGAAGATCTATAAAAAGATCATGATCCCGATTGGAGAGAAGATCGACAAGTCCTGGGTTTACATCAAATGGTATGTGATGCGGTTCTCTGCGTCAGTTTCTTATCCTACTCGACTTGAGCTTTCAACCCCGTACCATGTACTACGCCCACTCCCTAACCTTCACCCAGGATCTTTGATAAAATAAACACCAGCGCAATTTTCGCCTGATCATTTAATGCACAGTAGCGAATAAGGGATATTGAAACGAGGGGCGGGGTTGGGCACTCGTATTTTGGAATGTCCGTTTTTCCTTACATTCGAAATTTCGAAGGTTAATTCCAAGCATACTAACTTTTTATACCATGGGATTCATAACTCCAAAAGAGAAAATATTGTTCATATTTCCGAGAGAGCGTAACAGACAAACGAAAACAGTGTATATAACATTCACAATCTTATACAAGTATGGTATCTTAAGGTGCAATGGGTAATGAATATGACAAACAATGAGGAGTAATTCTGGCAGAATAGTTTTACGGGGACATGGGGCGGGTATGCTTGGGCTTCATACATCCATTTTCTTCATGTGAGTCTGTGGTGTTATTAAGGGGGGGGGGGTGCTTGAAGTGAAATAATATAGTATTAATGACTGCTTTGAGAGAAATAGTTGTTTTTATACGCTCAAGGGAAGGTTAGAATTGTGCTATTGCCCCGAGGCGTGCCGAGGGCAATAGCCCAATTGTAACCTTCCCGAGAGCGTATAAAAACAACTATTTCTCGAATATTAAAGCAGTCATTAATACTTTTATATGCCGAAAAAAAAAATTTAAAAATATTTTTAAAAAAATATATAAAAAAACTTTTGTCAAATGGGAGTCGATCTCTTGCGTACCAAAGGTGATGTAACAACCGCCGCCTTAAACCGCTCGGCTATCGCGCTCTGTTCCCATATGTAGCAGTTTTTTCTTATATATACATTAAAATGGATTGAAAACGGCTTCGCGTGGTGGAAGCTTCGCGGCTGCTTCATTAAACAGGCCCTTCTTTTACTTTTGCAATGCATATTGGCACGAATTTAGATCAAGATCTATCGGCAGATGTTGTTTTTTTGTTTTTGGAAGTTTATTTTCGTCTTAATGTCAACAATGCAAGATAAAATTATCGGTAAGGTCGATCGAGATTCAATTCTATTGAAATTACCGACCAATTTTTCGCACACGTACGGTATCCTCGATCGCTCAGACCATTTTTGTAACATGTAAACCTATGGGGTAACCATGGAGACTGACCTATTTTCCCAATAACCATGGTTATTGGGATTTTGAACTGTTTTTTAACCATGGTTACCGGGAATTTTCGGGAACAGTGAAAGTTTATGAATGCAATTTCGACCAATCACATTGCTGGATTACATAAGTGAGGTATATAATTAGTATTATTAGTTAACAAATGTTGTGATTATTATCATCATCATTTTATTATTGCTATTAGCACCATTGTTGTTAGTATTATTATTATTGTTATTATTATTATATAATTATTACTATGATCGTTATTATTGATATTATTATCAAATTTAATGTTATTATCTTTGTTATTATTATTATTACTTTTATTATAATTGTTATATTATTATCATTATTGTTATCATATATTTTTATTATCATTATCATCATAATTAGTAATATTAATGGTATTATCATTATAATAATCATTATTATCATTGGGCAGCTTGAACCCCACCAAAACAGCTCTAAAACCGCTACTGCACATGATAAAGGTTTAGTTTACAACGATTATATTTTATCTGTCACTAGGCCGTGCATCCTGGCTGTAATTGCCGGTATAGGCGTTGCCCTCTACTTCCTTACCCGAGACACTCCTGAAAACCTCATTTCTCTGGCAGGATTGGCCTTCTTCTTACTCTTCAGTTACGTCTTTTCTAAATATCCAGCCCAGGTCAGTATGGGATTTTTTTTTATTTTTTTAAATTTGATTTGATTTGATTTCTGCATTTGTTTCCATATAAAATATAACTGAATAACAAAGAACATATAAATGTAAGGTATAATACAACATAAAAAAAACAATAATTTCTTCATACCAACATTTTTTGTTTACGTAATATATGTACATATAATAATGAAACTTAATATTTTCATAACATATAATCATAAATTCAAAGTATTATCCGAACTGTTCTGTTGGAAAAGTGCAGGAGACCGCAATCATAAGCAAAGCTTGACAAGGATGGAGGCCTCATTGTAAATTGTACGATTCTGCCAGTTTCCCTCACAACGCAGTTCCTTTGGTTGTACGACACATTATCCGGCGATAATAGCTCGGGGGGGGGGGGGGGAGGGGGGGTGTTTCACAAAGATTCGAAGGCGAACTTAACTCTAAGTTGGACTTCAATATTATAGAGAGCCATTTGTAGCCTTATTTTGAAATATATTCAAAAGCACAAATTCAAGCATTTTAGACTTTTCACAAAGATTCGAAGTCGAAATTAACTCTAAGTTGGACTTCAATATTATGGAGAGCCATTTGTAGCCTTATTTTGAAATATATTCAAAAGAACAAATTCAACTATTTTAGACTTATCATAAATTCCACATTAAGAACATGAAATTTCCTATGATAATAAAAAATATAAATGATTTGAATCAACATTTTATGCCTTTTAAACTAACTTTTATAAAATATTTCCAAGGATGCTCATGGCTTTCCATAAGTTTAAAGTCTAACTTAGAGATAAGTACAACTTAGGATCTTTGTGAAACACCCCCCTGGAGTCAATATCGTACACTAACCAGATTCTAAAATTCATCCCTGCACCCAACACTCTATCTAATACTAACAGTAACATTAATACATTTTTAATCATGGGAATATAGAATCATAAAAGTCAAATTGCACTTGTTTTGATACGTCCATGTATCGACACAACCTTGGTTTAGATTTCCTGAATTCCTTGGTAAATTATGTGATAAAATGAGTTGGGTGTGTTAAAACGCAACGCAGTCTTGAGTTATTCCCAAACATGGATTCTGGGGGGGGGGTGTTACTCAACACCCCTCCCCCTTGAACCCCCAAAACAATCTTTTTGTGGATCTGCGCCTGGTGTAACATAGAAATATAGCTATTATTCTCCTCAAACATTCTAGGTCAAGTGGAGGCCGGTCATTTGGGGACTTGCCTTGCAGATGTTGTTGGGGTTATTTATCCTCAGGACATATCCAGGCTTTGTTCTATTCGAGTGGCTCAGTGATGTAGTTTACGCGTTCCTCAATTTCTCTGCCGCCGGCGCCATCTTCCTATTCGGTGAAAATTACCAGGAACATTACTTTGCATTTGCGGTAAGTGCTTTTATTAAAGGTAAAGACCAGTTTTGGTCTCAAAAAATGAAATAGAAGCTCTTATTACCAATCATGTGAAAGAATATGTTTTGACTAATATGTGATGGTACAAATCTTTGCCGAGAAGCCGCCTACATATTGATATATTTGGTAAATTAGTGTATCTATTTGGACCTGATAGATATAACGCACGTGTGCGTAGTCCCATATACATCTTTCTGTGTAGAGTGCTTGTAACTTTACCAAGACTGGGCCAAATTTCTTATCATTTTGATGATTCCAGAACCTTGCATTAAATTCAATCTTTGTGTTAGGATAATCTGTGACGGTATCAATATCTGAAGACGATTTTCTTTCCCCCTCATAATTATGTAGCCGTTGTGATATCTCTTCTCTTCCACTTTAAAATGTTATTCAGGTCCTTCCCATCATCATCTATTTTAGCGCTGTCATCTCGGTGCTTTACTACTGGGGAGTGATGCAGACTGTCATCCAGAAAGTAGCCTGGTTGATGCAACGTACTATGAGGACATCGGCTTCGGAATCCCTCAATGCTGCAGGCAACATCTTCGTTGGCATGGTAACGAGAATCACCATCATCATCATGGAAAAGAAATGATATTTTATACCGGGAGGGAACTAGTGTTTTCAAGATATGACTACTCAATGATCATTCCATTCAAAAGTTAATCTCAGAGAAACTTTCTTTCTAATGAATATTCAAATAATACACTGCAGTGAGGGCATTAGTAATTTTATTAATGTCCGAAAAAATGCTGTGTATTAATTGTTTTATTACATTATGACGTGGATCCTTGTTATTTGATAAATCACCCTCATCTCAAAGTCCATACATTACTAATTCTAGTTCTACATCTATGACTGATCTCGATCCAACTGAGATAACTAATGCGTTTTAAACTTCCGCGGCAGCTATTTTCGCGAGTAAACGTAAAACGATAAATCTCAATGGTTGCGATCACAAAACATGATCGCCAATGACCGGTCATTACCATAGGGTAATGACCGGTCATTCCCCAAATTCCGCGTTAGGCAAAATAAATGCCTGGTCACGTGTACGCTTTCAACCAATCGTTTGATTATGATCTACGTCATCAGCTTATAAACATTAATATTTGCCTCCGAATCACTTAACAAAGCAGTCAATATCTTCGTTCGCATGGTAACAAGAATGTGAAACAACATCGGGAAATAGATGAAGATGTGAATTTATACAGTGGGTTATGTTTATCTGAGCCATGAGCAAGAATTATCACTGTTTTTCAAAAGTTACTCTCAGATACAAAATAAACTAGTTGCCTTTGAAGCAATCAATGCAGCAGGCAACAATTTTGTTGTCATGGTAACAAGAACGTCGAAGCTCATTTAGGAAATATTTACAGGGAGGTAACTATTGTTTTCGTAGCTATAGAGCATTTAAAGGATCACTTTTTCATAAGTCAATCTTTTCAAAATAAAAGATTAATATTTGCCTTCGAATCACTAAACGAAGCAGGCAACATACTTGTTGGCATGGTAATAAGAAGTTATAAAAGCATCATTAGGAAATTAAAAAAAAGAAATAACGTGAATAAATATTTTACAGAGGGTAACATCTTTCCAAACCATAAGGTCGATTTGATTATAGTATTTGATAAGATGATGAAGCGGATCCTGATCGAATGATTGATTGAGAGCGTACACGTGACCAGGCATTTATTTTGCCGTAATTTTACTAATGACCAGTCATTAGTAAATTCATGTTATAACAGTTATAACACATCATTTTATAAAACAAATAAAACATCATCTTATAAAACAAATAGTAAGCATCATTTTGTTCGGGCATCAGTAAAATTACCGACACTCGGTTCCTTCGAAACAGTCCAAACACCCTCGGTTATCGCCTCGGGCGGGTTAGACTGTTCCAAAGGTACCTTGTGTGGGTAGTTGATAATAATGCCCTCACTGCTGTGTATTATTTGTAAACTATTTTGGGGAGATTTTAACCACCTAAATCCATGAGTCATCATTTCAGTTAACAAAAATAATACATTTTCTCTATAGACTGAGGCGCCTTTATTGATCAAGCCGTACCTGAAGGACATGACGCGCTCTGAGATCCACGCCGTCATGACGGGTGGCTTCGCGACCGTCGCAGGAAGCACTCTTGGAGCATACATTCTCTACGGTATCGATGCGACCCATCTCATAACCGCCTCGGTGATGTCTGCCCCCGCAGCTCTGGCGATGTCGAAGCTCTTCTACCCCGAGACCGAGAAATCGAAGCACCTCACCGAGGAGGACATGGTGTTGGCTAAAGGGTAGGCAGGAATTATAATTATATAATATTGGATGGCCTTGAGCTGGACATCAGGATTAAATGTTTGTAAAACAATAATAATTTTATTGCCTCGAGTCATACAATTGCAAGAATAATTGAGTATTGCATCTAAGTATAGTATTTTGGAGTCATTCCCTTTTTTCTTTTTCTAAAGATGAATCAAGTTGACTGAACAGCACTGCGCATATATATATATGGGTTCGTGGGACTATACGCACATGAAACTAAATTTGGTCTAAAGCTTTAAAGGACAATCAAACCTATGTACTAGGTTCATTTGTATGAAAGAAGAAAAATAAAAGAAACAGAATAGTGAAAGCTTGAAATAAATTGGACTCCAAGAATAAGAGATACAGTAGGCTTGCGGGTGCACCATGTGAGAGAGAGAGAGAGAGGGTTGATGAGTCCTGAAAAGGACTCTGACTCGGTAATCTTTCTTGGGGGTGTGTAGTCCTTAAAAGGACTGTTTGTTATCTTTCTTAGCTTATAGTTCTACGGAGAACTATAGCTCTTGGAGAGGATGAGTGGCTCAACGTTTCGAACAGGTTGACTATCGGTCGTCAGGAGTGTAGAATAAGAGAGTTATGAATGTTTGGCATATGAGATCACTAAATCTATGACAATCAAAAATTGCCAGTTTTGTCAGTGGATTGAAACGTTGCCACGGACAAATCTCCCGCTCGTTTCGTAAAAAAGTATCATTACATTTATTATTTCCTAAATGCCTTTTCCATTAGAGCACTACTCAAAATATATTATGAATAGCATAATATAGGTCCGCTAAATAGGAAATGCCTTCCTGAGTTATAAATTGAGAAAAATTGACATTCTAGTCATTTTGTATGATGAAACGAATGGGAGAGTTGTTTTGCACTTCCTCGCAGGGCCATTACAGATGCAGCCGATTTGAAGTGCCCATCCGTATAGTGATTACGTCATTAAAATTATATAATTTTTAATTTTTTTTTTTAGATTCCTTTAAAACTGTTTTACGCATTTTTAATTGACCTATGAGGACATATCAAAAGAAAGCATCCAACTGCGGCAGTTCTATAGTGATATTCTTCCACATGTTCGCCCTTTTCAGAAGTCGAAACCCCTTTTTAAGGATGTTTAAAGATAAATACATTCATTGTTTTAGGGACGAGCTAAACGTCATTGAAGCAGCTGCTAACGGAGCATCGCAAGCCATTCCACTGGTCCTGAACGTCGCTGCAAACCTCATAGCTTTTCTTTCTCTCCTGGCCCTCGTGAACGCTTTGCTTGGATACTTCGGAGGACTCGTCGGTTACCCACAACTCACCTTCGAGGTAACAATGAAGTTCGATTACGGTCACACCTGACAAATATCCCGCTTTTTCTTATTTGAGAAATAATCTCGGAGTTACAAATCGCGTCTTCATCAGCTCGAAACTTGACCTCGATACTTGAAACTCGAGCTCGAGAAATTAGCTCGAGATAGTTTGCTCAGCGTTCGCGCATAGTGCGAGTCTTCGGGCTGGTGAAGACACATCGGACAATAAATTAGCGGGATACTTTGCAAACTAGACCAAGATATCTTGGGATGATTATCTCGACCAAATATCTCGCTAATTGCAACTTCGGGCTGAAGAAGACGCAAATTAACTGGATAATTTGCGATCGGGATAGCGGGATATTTGACAATCTCGAGCTACTGAAGACAGGCCCATAAAGTTTGATTACTCACCGTCACACCGCCAAACCAATCACATTTACCAACAAACTCCCAACTGACTGCCCTTGGGCCATTCGGTTTATATCATGTTTCTAGTGTTAATTATGCATTCAATATATTTGTTTAATTTCGTATATTATCTGTATAAAATAATGTACATTTGAAATATTGTATCAAACCATATTATGTTCATGAAAATGAATGATGCAAAAAAGAAAGATGCAGAAACCAATAAATCAAATCAAATCAAATCAAATCATAAACTTTTATTGGTCTGTTGGTCTACATTTTTATTTATACATATTGGACTACTTGTTTAATTTTTGTGGCATGCATTGTTTGTAACGTAGAGGTGTCGGGGTTGAGTGGATACGTCGCCGGACTGTTGATCATAAGGTCCGCTGTTCGAGTTCCGCCGCGGCACTAACTTCCTTTGGCAAGACATTGATCTACATTTGTCATTCTCCACCCAGGTATAAATGGGTATCTGATATGCTTGAGCGCTAGTTACTTTGGCAGCTCGGCTACGACCAGGGTAATATGTGTAAAGCGCCATGAGCGTCAGAACCTGACGGATACCGGCGCTATGTAAATAACCATATTATTAATTATTTTTCATTTTCCCTTTTCCCAGTTTATATGCTCATACGTGTTTGTACCAATTGCCTTCATCATGGGGGTGGAGTGGGCAGACTGCAGGGTTGTAGCTGAACTTATCGGATTGAAAACATTCGTCAATGAATTCTACGCCTATGAGGTCCTTGGGAAGTACATTGAGAACAGGACAACGGGCGCAGGACCTACGCTCTCGGTAATTACATTCATAATTTTTCTTAGACATAACAAAATGTTCAGTAGTCAGGAATCTTCAAAATGTGTGGGATATAAAAACGATATAAACAAAATAAAAACAAGAACACACATCACCCCTAAAATGTCCACAGTACCAAACCTTACTGCAATTGATAAACTCTTTAAAGTTCAATTACTACTATAATCGCAAGACTTCCGAAAATACACCACTCAACTTGAGTAGCCTTGTTCATCACCCATATGAATGTGCGAGCACTATTTTCGCTTTTTGGCCTATGAATTACAAAGTGTTGCTGACTTTGTCCTCCAATTTTTTATCTTTTTTCGAAGTCTGTTTTTCTTCATGTTTTCGTGATTATTTCCCCATACAATTATAAATGACATCTAAAAGGATTTTTAGTTACACTTTTGAGATTGCTGAAAGGCAAAACAGCGGTAAACAGCTGTAACGAAGAAGAAAAAAAAGCCTTTTGGGTTTTTTTTTTGTCGTTGTTTCTTTTGTAATGTGTAAAATGAATGGTAACTGCGTGCAACAAAAAAACTTGTGCATATTCAGGGAGCTTTGTGTTACAAGATAAGTTAAAGAAATGTCAAGCTTAAATTGCAGCTCACGTCATTGCCAAAAAACGCAGCTGTTTGCTGTGTCATATCCGAACGAGAATTTCAAGTCTTTTTAGTGGGGTTCTCAAACAAAAACAAAAAATCTTCTCAAAACCAAACGTCTGGGTAAAATAGAACCCTGGTGCTCTGTTCTGTTTGCTAGACCGAGAACCAACGAGACCGACAACTTCGATATTATGAGAACTCGGACAAGCTTTGAGAAAGATACTGGCGGTCTCTTGGACCCTCAGTCTCCTGAAAAACCTTCAGAAAAGTCAGAGAGGTATGTACGGGCGACACTACTGGTTGTGCTGGTGTTGCTCTCCGTTAGCCGTAATCAATATTTATAGAAGCGATCGTTTATAATAATACACATTTTCCCCCGGATCTTTTCTACAGGTTCGATCGGAAGTTATTGCTACCTACGCCCTCTGTGGCTTTGCCAACATAGGCTCTGTAGGCATTGTACTAGGTGCTTTAGGACCTATGGCGCCCTCAAGGAAGGGTGACTTAGCAGCAGTGGCAATTCGAGCCCTAATCGCTGGAACGGTCGCTTGCTTCATGACTGCATGCATCGCAGGTAATTTATACTTTAAACTATTACATTACTAAAATAAATACCTTTATTTTCTGCCCTTACCATTCTTAACCCGTTAACTACTGAATTGTCTGGGTCCCATAGGCTTAACACAGGGACCACCAGGTTCCCGTAAGTGAAGGGTTAAAGGGGCATGTTCCCCGTATTCCAGAGGGCGCTCAAAATACGTACGCGCTGGCGGACGGCGCTATAGCTGCCTATTGACACCGGCAGAATACGGCTCTTACGCAGATGGCATGTTCCGATAACTACACTGGCGGGAACGTGCCCCTTTAAATCGAGCTTACGTAATCATTTACCAGGGATTATAAGTGCACGTCCTAAACAAAAAAAATGTACATGTACACTTGTTTTACAAGATTTTACAAGGTTTTACAAGATTATAAAGACTGGTACGCCTTAACGTCCTTTTGGTACTATTTATTTATTCATTCATTTGATATAAATGATACTCATACCCAAACGTACAGACACACACAAAACACACACACATATTATATACATATATACAGTATATTGTATTCATTTACCTATTTATTTATTTATTAAATATATCTAGCTATCTATTTTGAAAAAGAATTCACAGTGGTGAAATTAAATATTAATCAATAAGTATTTAATATACCTAATTCATAATTCATTGTATATTTCTCTCCAGGTATCCTCTATGTACCAGAAGACATTCCCTTTAACAACTCCACAACAAGCATCCCTCCTATGACGACAGTGTATTAAACTTAAGAAGGCTGTAGATAATTGTTGAAATTCTAATACTATCGACAGTATTAATAGTCAAGTTTGTATAGCACTTAAAACTACGTTTCTTTAAAGTACCTTACAATGTAATTTTTTATTATCACGGTCATTCGATTCAACTTTATACTATTCCGTTAATAATTTAGTAGTGCACATGCTTCTCTTCCTGGTGAGCATTACAGCCAGGTGCGATTTTACAGGCGCTCATATGCCAATCTAACCACATTAGCGTTCGCATTCTGCAGGATACTGACCCATTCAACACCTGGACAGAAGGAATGTAGATTTAAAAAAATGTCTTGCTTAAGGGCAGACATGCGGTGCAGGTGACCGAATCCATGACCTGCGCATCTAAGAATATAATATTTCTGGTGAAAAGGGAGCCAGTAAAGACTAGTTGATGCTTGAGCTGGAGATGACGTGGTCTATTGGGTACAACGCCGAACTGTGGATCGCATGGTTCGTGGTTCGAGTCCCGCCGCGGCCCTAATGTCCTTTGGAAAGACATTGATCTACGTTTGCCACACTCCACCCAAGTGAGGTATCTGGAAGGAATCAATTCCTTGACATGTTAAAGCGCCATAATGGAAGCCATGCTAAAGCCAGGGTAATATTCGTGGAGCGCCATATACGTACGAACCCACTATTATCATCATTATTAATGTGGGCTGCATTAGGATGAATTTATATCATATATTTCAAGGTTTACAAAGTTATGTATACATACACTGGAATCTACTCTAAACATGACAAATACACTCCTCCAAATCATTACTTAGATTAAATCTAGAATTATTATGTATAGAATTCATCACACTTGCAGTTGACAGAACATGTTCTTGATAGAAAGTTTTATATGTAAATAAGAGACGGAAATTTCTTTATTAAAAAGCGTGTTTTTACTGTAGGACATGAAAAAATGTAAATCAAGAGGAAATGATTAAATTTTTATCAAGCTTGTTATCCCTTAAGGAAATCTCCAGAAATTATAATATGCGGTCTTATTATTTGAAGTTGTATATTGTTGTATAATACTACCAGTATCTATCCAGATGATTCTACTGCCTAATATTTACCTAAAAGGTAAATTTTTTGTGTTCTTTTACCCTCAAAATAGTCTCGCAAATGCAACGTTTAACTTGTCATATTGTTATGTTTTTCAGTGGACTGAAGTGGACTTCAATTCCACTACATGTCAAATATCACAATCTCTATTAAACTATGTCTCCTTCGATGGTTACATGTACATGTTCCCCGCGAAATGCACGATTGTCTGAACATTAGTTAGGCCTGCCATTGTATTCAGCCATGTTTAGATATTTTTCTTCGTGTTGCGCTGCAACAATATACTATATACCACAGAGACTTTTCTTATATTGCAACAACTTTTTCAAGTCAAACACTGTCACTGTAGAATGATCATGTATGAATAAAACTGAGATATATGTATTCCCAAGCATTTGGAGATCCAACCAGCACGACACTGCCCAGGCTGTACAGACAGATTGATACGTATACGCATGCTATTTTAAGATGTTTCATTTACAGAAAGGCATGGTAAAAGCGTAACCATAACGGTTTTACCCTCAAAAATCCAGTTGGATTTACACAATGTTTGATGAAAAAAACACACGCACGTTTGTTTTGATAGGTAAAATGGAACATACCATGAGGTACACTTTTTATCCGACTAGCGTGCATAATAGAATACCATCTATCAAAACTTTATTTTTCCCACAATATTTGGTAAGATTTTACCCAACTTATTTGAGGGTGTAAGAATCAACAGTCTTTTAATCTCCCATGCTACTACAGGGAATATAGAATTACAGTCATTGTCAAGTGGTTAAAGTGGGAAAAATGTCATTATGTCTGTTACTTCTCTATAGTTTCTTTTATCAATTATGCAACGCGATGTGTTTTATGCAAGAACGCCATGCGAACAACTGTCAACTGCATCATTTTGTATTGGTTTTTGGTGCACTTATATCCTGCATATTTCTTTATTGTTCAACGATATGACCATTAAAGTGTGACCATTTCATGATTATATTTCAAGGGGTCGTGTGGTCATGAAAAAAAAAGCTTTTAGAGAGGTTCTACACCTCATTTCTTTCTTTTTCATTTTGTTGTTCTCATATTCCATTTTTGTTTAAATATGTGTATATTTCTTTTCATATAGCAATGAATGTCCACAATATATAAATGATTATATTTGTCCAACATGAAACAGCAAAAGAGCTACGAATGCAAAGAATATTAAATTTCAATTGTTAATAAAGTTATACTTATATACTTATACTACGACCATAGTCTTAATTGCAGTGACAAGTTGTGGGTGAGAGTGAGTGTATAGATGGATTAAATTGACGCCATGCAGGGTATAATTTTGTGAAACCAGTAATGCCTCACTCGTAAAATTATTAGGTTTAAAAATGTACAATGAAGGTAATTACGTGTCCACCGAACTTTTTGCATTAAAAAAACCCCAAGTTGGTTGATATTTTGCCCATCTTAAATTAATTATTAAATAGTTTGTCCCTAATTGGACAATTTATTACTCAGGTTGGGTAAAAATTAAATGCCCAAATTTGGTGGGGTGGATAATTAACCTCTTGCTTGGCAAATGCTGAACCAATATTTTGAGCAGGGCGTCACCCCGACCTCTAACTGATTTCGAACCGATCGATTCTTAGCAATTCATGGTAATGTCATGTTGTGTTTGGTCAGGGCCCTGTTTCATAAAACTTGATATCAATAACAAGTTACAAGCTACTGTTATAAGCTACTGAAATCATGGCATCTGATTGGCTGAGAGCAAATTTTCATAGAAATTTAGCAGTTGTTATAGATAACAAGTTTTATGAAACGGGCCCCGGTGTCGGTCTGGTATCTGTTTCATTAGTTGTGACGGGATATTGGGAAAGAAATGGAGAGGATGGGACCATGGACCTTTCAGTTAGGTCCATGAGACCCTACAGTTACCAAGGTGCACGACATCACCGATATGAAGTATAGGCCATTTCCTTTTTAATCAGGGACTTCTTCGAGCAGTCTATCTACGAAGTTCTTAGCTTCCCAAACGATTAGAAATCATGTAAAGTAGGAGTGGATGTGAGGGAGAATGATGGTAATAGGGACTTTTAGATTTGCGTGGGCTGATACGTGTGACGTCCATTGAAGGCAGTGCATTAAAAGGACGTCGACCGTAGCAATCCCCATTGTGTTCGTGCGAATCTAAAAGTCCCTAGTAGCAAAGGAGTGGTGAAAGAGAGAGAACAAAGAAAAAAAGAGGGAGGAAGAGAAAGGAACAGAGAGAGACAAAGAGAGAGGGATAGAGAGACAGAGAGAGAGAATCATCGCGAAATTATCATTATGAATATGAATGAGAGGGGTATGCCGAGGCAGTCATGCAGAATGGATAAAAGAATTTGCGGTTTACAAAAAAACGTCTACCTAGCGTGAAATCCGTAAAGAAACAGGGAAATGCAATCGTATAATCACTAGACGAGAGACCTGCGACTTGGACCTGAAAGTTTAGCCACAGTCCCGGTAATGTGAATAGGCGCAGGTACATCTCGCTTTCGATAGTTTGAAAACTTTCAACGGTGAGGAGTTTATTACCGAGGATTAGAAAGTACTGGGGATCACACTATGAATATAACGGACAAAGAAAGCGGACAAAATATACAGTTCCTCATTCTACCCTCAACAATGCTATGGTAGACAAAGGAACTTCCCTTCAGTCGGGCGCGCCGGAAGCAGTTTTGGATGGGGGGGGGGGGGGGGGCTCACATTCCAGGGGGCTCACATTCCAGGGGCAGTGACGTAATGAGAAAAATAGTTTGGAAGGGGGGGGCAGACGAAAAATCTGCATCACCACCAGTCTTACACGTTACATGCAGGTCCCGCGGAACGTTTTTCAGAGTGGAGTATTATCGATTAGGTAGAGCGTAAATTGCCGTGGGGTCCAGGGCATGAGCCTCGGCAGGGGGTCAAGGGGCTACGCCCCCGGAAGCTCAGGTGTTTTAGGTATTTAATTAAAGTCAGATGAGCATCCAGGGGCCGCCTTAGGGCCCTTTGTGGGGTCCAGGGGGCAAAGCCCCGGAAGCTCAGGGGTTTTAGGTACCTAATTACGGTCAGATGAACATCCAGGGGCCCGCCTTAAAGCCCTTGGTGGGGTTCCAGGGGGCAGAGCTTCCGGAAGCTCAGGGGTTTTAGGTATTTAATTACGGTCAGATGAGCATCCAGGGGCCCGCCTTAGGTCCCTTGGTGGGGTTCGGGGGCGGAGCCCCCATAAGCTCAGGGGTTTTAATCATTTAATTACGGTCAGATGAGCATTTTTTATACCTTATTTGTGACATTGGCAGGTCACTTATTTTTTTCTCCGTCTTTCTTTCTTTTTCTCTTTAACATACTGTTTCAAAAAGGAGGGGGGGGGGGGGGCTCGAGCCCATCCACTTTGCAGACCATGACATAAAGGCTTCTAAATAAGCGTATTTCGCCTGACTGTAATTTGGGAATTTCTTATTTTCCAACAAACGCATAAAAAGGTATGACTTACTACACAAATGGAGAAAAAATGCCGGAAAATCGTGTCCCAACATCAACATTTGTAAATCACTTGTTTCGAATAAGAAATACATCACCCCCCCCCCCCCAATCAATACGCCAGCGGTCAGGGGCTCATGTCTTCTCACCCCTATAATAAAAAACCGACACGCTTTCCCATTCTCGCACAATATGTTCACGATATGCGCGTATCGCTATTATAGAGACGTCCATTGATAAATACCGCATAGGTGGCATGCGCAATGTTTATGAAATTCAATTCCTGTGAACTTTCGGTTTTCTTTGAATGGAATTGTATATATGATTTAATTCAGGTTTTTATTATTGTTACGTTCTTTTGGATTAAAAATACAAAACATGTTTACTCCTTTACTGTTTTTTTTTTGGAGGGGGGGGGGGCGTTTTTTTTTTTTTTTTTTTTTTGGGGGGGGGGGCAAAAATGCGTTTTGCCCCCCCCCCCCCCACTTTTTTGACTGGGGGGGGGGCAACTGCCCCCCCCCCCCCACTTCCGGCGCCTATGCCTTCAGTGCTATTATGTAAAAATGTGTAGAACAGGTGAATATGCATGTGACACCTGTTCTACAGATTTTTACATGATAGCAGTGAAGGTATGTTCCTTTGTCTACCATAGCAATTTTTGAGGGAAGAATGAGGAATTGTATATTTTGTCCGCTTTCTTTGTCCGTCATATTCATAGTGTCAGCAGGTACCCAGTAGGACTATCCCTCACGTAACTGTAATGAAAACTGGTGATTAAAAAAAACACCTGTATCTCCTCATTCCCTCAGTTCCAATTCTTCTTTCTCTGTCTTTCTACTCTCTCTCTCTCTCTCTCTCTCTCTCTCTTCATTCTCCTCCTCTCTATGTATCCCATTCTCTCTATTCTATTTTCTCCACTCTTAATAATTCGATCTTTTCTCTCCTTCCGCTTCGTTTCTTTATTATATTTCCATATTTTATATCCCCTTTTCTCCCTTTCTTTTCTCATGCTGTTCGTTTCTCTATTTCGTCTTGCTCTCTTTCTTCATTCATAATCTTAAGTGTTTCTCATTATCTTGCACATGTTTATCCCTTCGATTAAATCAGTATTCCTCAATAACTCTGAACTTATTAAGTTTTCATGGTTGTTGTCTTCCCTCTCTAAGTTTTCATAAGTTTTTTTTCTCTCTCTCTTTCTCTCACACACTCTCTCTATCTACCCCTCTATCTTTCTTTTTCTTTCTCCCTCCCTCTAGTCGCTCTCGATTTCGCCCATTCTCATATGTCCCTTCTGCGATTCCTCTATATCCTCTCTCTTTCTACACACTTAAATTATCCCCCAAATCTTATTCGATGTCTCATTGTTTTTCATTTACCGTCTATGCTTTACCATGGCTATAAATACTTTTCTCCAAGACTGTCAACATACCCCCCTCTCTCTCTCTCTCTCTCTCTCTCTCTCACTCTCTCTCTCTCTCTCTCTCTCGCTTTAACTCTCACCTATTTTCTCTTTCTATTCAATATCTATTTTTCTCTTCTTTCTTTTCAACTTCTTCCCTCTCTCTATCATTCGGAAATGGAATTGCCCAATTCTTTCCACCGATTCATCCAAATCCCACACAAAAAATGTTCACGTCCAAATGAAAAGCATATACAAACGGAACATAATAGCACCTCCTATGCTTGGATAGGCACCATGTATTCGATACAGGTATTAATTATGACATGATATATACTGCATGATCATTTCGAGTTCCTTTCGCAAGACCGCTGGCATATATACAATACCATCCTCCAGGGCTGGCGTGCCAACACCTTGGATCTATTTTGCTTTCACACATTCTTGAAAACTTTGTGACCCCACGGAAGAAAATCACCACCGGTACTCTACTCTACTCCACGATTAGGGGTACTTTCTTCTCCCCTTGTTGATGGTTTATTCTTTAACTGGACTCGATTCTCCTGTCCTTCAGGGCAATTTTAACACGATTCATAGAAGGAAGTTTTGGGAACAAATCCACCGATTTGGATACATTTCCATACCGGATAACCACGCGCTGTTTAGGGTTGTTCTTGCGTGGTGGAGAACGGCGTTTTGTACGTCATCAGCTCGTTCGGATTGGCGTTGTAACTTGGGCGGATACAAAAACACCATGGCTGTTCGCACTGATGGAAACTTTCGGGTCTTTTGGATGCTGGGAGTGTTAACATGTTGCTTATTCGCAAATGCTGTAAGTATAGTAATGGTTGAATTATACTAAATCTATGACCCAGTAACGTCGACATCGACAAACACCTATAGCTATTCTGTCTCAAATATTGCTGCATTCAAATGTTACCTTTGATTATATTCAAAGTTCATGACCTGTATAATTTCTTTTTAGGCTGTTTTATGTTTCGATTAAATTCTAACGAACCTCCTCATGCCATCACGTCGACATTCCAGAAGAATCAACAACTTCATAATTATCCAACCCGACAGTCTTCCTTTTTCATTTTTAATGTATAATTGTATGTGTGTATTCGGGCGTACTCATTACAAGCTATGCTTATCGGGTTTCGCGCCTTTCCTTGTAATACAAGTTCTTTAATTATATTTATGTTCCTACTTTTAAATTGTATTGTTTGAACAGATGTCAAATATGTTGACAAATTGTATGGAAGAAAATATGAAACATAAACTTCTACTCCATTATGAAAATGCTTAAAGTCATCATGATAGAGACCATCTGTAATAGGGACTTTTAG